CTGAGCAGCCAGTCGGACGTGCGTATGCTGTTGAATCGCTAGCGGTCGGTAAAGTGTTAATAGGAAATCTCAGCTGGCTTATAATTACACAGGTTATCAAAACCATGGCACAAATTGATATATAGCTACTTTCTTTTTCCACAAATTTTGAACTGTATTTGATTTTATTGACAGCCATAATTTGAACTGAAGCCATGTATAGATTGAAGTTGTAAAAGACTCTATACCTTCATCAACTATTAATCTCTCTGAATAAATCTTAAAATCATTTCTAACTGAATTGGAAAATTGTATGAATGGTAGAGATACAGTCAAATACCGAAAATCCGCCGACCTTAAATCTGCCAACTACTGAAATATATGCCTCTCAAAATATAAACATTTAGTTTATAGGTTTCAGAAACCACTACATAGAGTAAGAAATATCGAAGAAAAAATACTGGATAATAATGTCATAATTACCGAATAATAATGAGTCATAACAGAAATACCAAATTATTGACATCATGATAAGAGTTTTCCCCCCTCCAATCTGCATCGAGGTAAAAAGTTAATCGCAGGCGATTAACTCAACGCTTTTTTCAAGTTCGTGTTTCACGTTGTACTTTCTCAGCTTTGTTTTTTCACGAGATTGTTTAGTGATGTCGGTTTTTTTTTATTATTTTGGATATTTTGTGGATAAATTAAGAATATTTTAAATATCATCGCTTTTTAATACAATGACGGATAAGAAACGCCCTCGTGATTTTACTGCGTACAACGTTGAAAAACGTAAACACGTTGCATTGATGGTAATGAAAAAAGTGGAAATTCTGCTAAAGATGGAGGCAGGTGCTACTGCTCAGTTTATAGCAGAATCGTATGGAATTGCCACACGGACTGTGTATGGTATACGGAACAATAAAGACAAGCTGTTGAAATTTTACAGCAACAGCTTCGGAATCCGAAACCAGAAATCTTTACATGAAGGGAAATCGGCAAACCTCGATGCTGTCTTGTACAAGTGGTTCCGGCAGCGGCGGAATGATGGAGTACAGAACTTTTCCTGAGTATTTCAGAACTTTTCCTGAGAGAAAAGGGGAAGCAGATTCTTGCTGATTTAAAAATAGAGGAGCTTAATGTAAATGAACAATATACAAGGTGTGGCTAATACAAGGTGTCCTAATTTCCAGGACTGTAATAACACCAGAACAAATGATGTGAAAAATGTAACCTTTTACTAAGTAATCCCCATCTGTCATAATACACTTCTGTCCTCGGCTGTATAAATTGTGGAAACAACTTTTAAAGTCCTCTTTCGGAAGGCTCTTCAATGTCAATGTCACATTCTTCTTGATGTCTTCAACATCCACAAAGCATGTTCCTTTGATCACAGTTTTGAGTTTGGCAAACAAACCAAAAAAAAAAAATGTCTGCAAGGGCCAAGTCAAGAGAGTATGGTGGATGATGCAGCTCCACGACCTCATGCTTGGCCAAAAATCTCTTCACTGGCAACGTAATGTGGGGGCGGGACATCAAGAAGAACATGACGTCGACATTGATGAGCCTTCCAAAAGATGACTTTAAAAGTTGTTTCCACAACTTATACAGCCGAGCACAGAAGTGTATTACAGCAGATGGGGATTACTTCAAAACATATTAAAATACAAGTCAAACAACAAAGATCAGCGTTATATTTGCAAAATTTTCACAGGACTAGTTTCGATGGTTTTACCGAACCACCATCCTCAGCTGCAAAACCGCAAATGCTGGATTCCAAAGATTTTGTGGTTCTACTGCACAACTTTTAAGAGTTTGATGAGATATTTATGAATTTATTCTCTTTATCAAAATTTCGAATAGTTTCAATATTAAAATATCCAACAAAGTTTGTTGTAATTCTAAAGTTCGTGTCTAATTAAACTGTAAGTTTTCTTGAATGGCAAAAATACTAGCTGTAGGAAAAATGTGTCATTTTCTGATAATGAAGTTTACTTTACAAAGGTGGAAAAAGTAGGCTTCCTTTCCAAAGAAGTTTCTTTTTGGAGGTTGAACAGTTCAACACAGAAATGAATCAAATGAACCTCATATCCTCACAGATGGGCAACTTTTCAAAATATCACAAAGATTTGCAGCTTTTAACATAAAATCTGCATCATCCAGATATTCCAATCTATCCTCTTTTTTTGAAAATTTTACTGGGACTTCAGTTTTATTTAACTTCAGTTGGAATTTTGCTTGTGTAACTGAATACAGCAAAGATTATGAGGCCTATCTGCTTAAGGAGTTTGTTCTTTGTGAAGGATTTTTTAAAGAAACTGGTTCACATTTTTGTTGTACACGAAAAAAAAAAAATCATAAAACTATCCATTAAACCAGCAAATGCTGGTTTAATGGATAGTTTCATGATTTTTTTTTTTTTTTTTTTTTTTTTTTTTTTTGCGGATTGCCTATTTGCTGGGATTCGAACCTAGCTGAAATACGTGTTTAGTGATTTTATCTACTTGGCTCCATGCCAATTTTGAATGGAGGATTAAAGGAAGAGTTTAGCAGATCAAATACTATGCATGCATTAGATGTAATTACATTACTGTACTATATATACCCATGCCCACGTCCTCCGTTACTACTACTACTACTACTATATATAACCAGGAAATCACAGATCTGTAGTTGATTTTGATACTTCATTATTTTTTCTCTCTGTTACATCATATATTCATCACAAAATCAAACATCTGAATAATTGCAGATACCTCTTTCAAATATTGGATTCCAACATTTCATATTTGGTACTAATGCAACTGCAATGCTTGGATTCTATTACAAAAGGTAAACCAGTACATTTGGTGCTGCTGTTCAGTGCAGTCCAGGTAAAATATTGTTATTAAGAACAAGATAAAAGCTGAAACTTTATCAGACCTCAAAGCTACAAAGTTTCTGCGCATGCGTAGCATTTACGCATATGCATGTACGCATGCGCATAATACCTTTACGCATGCGCGTTTAATGTATAATGGACGGTATAAGCTAAGCTAAAATTATCTATTTCAGTTAATGTTGCAGATTGCGTTGTTCCTTAATCTTCTAATTGGATCCAGCTTATTATTTTTTGCAGACTGTTACAGCAATTTTATAAAAGTAAACTTGAACTTTCGATTATGTCAAAAAGAATTTCCGATTTTGGAGCTGCCAAAGGATCTACAAAGCGAAAGCATGTTTCGATGTCCATAAAAAAAAAAGTCGAATTCCTGCAAAAAATGGATAAAGGCATATCCTTTGTTTCTCTAACCATTCCAAAATCTGTTTATCAATTTCACGCTGCTCTGCGGAGGGAAACGTCGCGGCACGCAATGAACTGGAAGTTGATCTGTCAGCACTATCCTCATCTTCAGGGCAGATGTTTTTATTTTATTCGGCTTATAATTCCTTACTAAATGTAGTATTTCATCTCGATGTACTCCGTCTTTGATATGATTTAAATCAAATTCCTCATCATTATAAATATCACGAATACACATCAAATAGTTTCTGGTTGCAATTTTCTAATTTCGACTGTGCGCACGTTGAAAGAAATGTTTAATAAAGTAAACAAATAAATATAAAGTTTTTTTTTTTTTTTTTTTTTTTTGTAAATTTTGTTACCCTTTAGATCATAGTTGCTCTTTATTTCATAAATTACGGTTTCATATTTTTAATTTTATAATTTCTGCATGCCATCTCACCAGATTTAAATTGATGATCTATAATCTGGAATCGCCAAAGTCCCAACGAGTCCGGATTAGAGACTTTTGACTGTATCACTTTTCCTGTGTTCTTATTCAATATTATTCTTTAGCAGACACAGGCAGTCGTGCATTTTGAAGATACATCAGGCATGGCAAAATAAAGATCTTATGCAATGCATTTAGCTGTAAAATAATTGTAATTACATGAATTTTTACAGTTCCTGTAATGTTTCTCACCATTGTAAGAAGCTGAAGTTATAAATTAATAAATTAATCTCAATGCACATTTCTTTATTAGCAGCACTAATACCCACATTTTAATAAATGGATATATTCGGATTCCTCCAAACTGCTCTTGTATTTTGGTTCATGGATTTAGCAAATGTTCATGAGCAATCATAAATTTTTAAATAATGAATATTTCATATTATGTCTGAATTTCTGCATCTGAGCATAAATTACAAAGGATACTTGAAGGAGATTTTTTTTATACTTCTTTGATACTTTTTTTTTTTTTTTTTGTTGCTCCTTATGAATGGCCTACGCATTAGTGGACAAGATTGCAGACACTTTAATCTAGGTTTGAATCTTGGCAAATAGGCTGGCTGCAGGGTTTTTTTATAGTTTTCTCAAGTATAATATGAAAGGAAGGAAGTTTACAAAGCCATCACTTTGCCTACGCAGATAGTCCTCTCAGTAATAGGCAATTTTATTTCAATTGATCGTAATACATATCTTTTCTCTGTATTATCTCCATTTTGAATTGAGAACAACTGCATTAAAAATTTATTTGTTATTTTATTTATTTATCTGTACACCAAATAACATCTGAATAAACAATGTTGCTTTTTTGCTAAAGTATTTAAAACTGTCTGTATTGACTACTTTAAGTAAAGAGTTTTGTTGTATTAAATTTAACAAGTAGCTTCTTAAATTTAGATAGATGGTGCTTCTCTTATTTTCTTTGCCTTCAGTACTTTTATTATTCTACTGCAGATTGCTTTTATTTTTCTTTTTTTTTGGGGGGGGGAAGCTGCTTTATTTACCAAGAGATAAACTGGAAAAAAATAATCTCAAATATGTAATCTAGTCAGAAATACGTTTTTAAACAAGACTATGACTTAATTACTAATAAGGTAATGACTTAATTACCATATAATGAAGAAATTTTTGTTGCCCACTAAAACAGACCAAAAAATTATGCAAATGAAATCAAACTAGATACCATTGAAGATTGATAAAAGATTTAGCTTACAGAATATGAATTTTCCAGATCCTTCAGCAAGCCAGAAATTAAATACAAATTTCAAAATATTTAATACAAAATCATAAAATTTGGAATTTTTACAAACAGATTAAAATAAAAGAGATTTCAATAAAAACTTTTGAATAGTATAAATCACACTTTGTATTAATACAATGCATTATAAAAAAGAGGTATTTACAATAACTTCATCTTGACTATAAGATACATAAGTTCATATTGTGCTTTCAACATTATAACCATTGCAAATGGCATATTTACATTTTTTCAAACTCTACCTTATGACCACAAGTGGTACAAGTTTTTACATATATATCATTGCTTTCATCATATGTTTCGGGGCCAAATACGTGTGTATGAGTACTGTCTTTTTTTCTATACAAACTACTTCGAACTTCCATTTTTAGTGCTAGAAAGAAATAAAATATCAATTAGACATTCAGAAGCGAGGACAAAACTGATTAACACAGCTAAATTATGATTAGTCATATTTTATGTTTTATTCAGGTGCACAACTAAAGACTAAACCTCAGACCCTCACAACAGAAGTTTTTCATTGGTTTCTGGGAAATCTTAAGAGATAGGAATATAATGACTCTGAAAAGAAAATGAAAACTATTTAATTTTTTAATGTGTAATTGACAGAAGATTCACAAGAGAAAATTTAGTTAAGAGAGCAAGGGTCTATAATACAGAAGGTAAACTAGCTTTTAAGAATACCACCAGTTCATACAAATATTACAACCAAAGAATGGAAAACTGATGTTATCACATATTTTTAATACTGAAAATTACTGAAATAATTATTAAGGTCCACGCCCTTTAGTATTAGAAATACATATTTGTCACATTATATAAAATTTTAATTTTTAAAATGTACAGTTTGAAAATATATATACGACAAATTATAACCACTCTTTTGAAAGTAACTGATAATATTATTTCTAATGTTAGAAATATCCAAAAATTAAATTAAACTAGCATGAAGAATAAAATGGAAAAATAAAACAGATAACTTCTAAAACTGGATAAATTCTTGGTTGTAGGTTTTACAGCATTGTAATTTCAATAAAAGTAAAAAATAGTTTTTCACTCCTTCGTGAAATTTTTTGATAAATTAATCAATGAACATATTCTTTTGAAAGCCAATTTCAGGTTTATAAACACATACACATACGCATACAGCTAAAAATAAAGGATTTTGTGATTAGATCTTTAACCATTCATCTTTAAGTCAAAATAATTTTATGGTATGTTAGGTTATTTGTTACTGGAAGGAATTTGAAGGCCATCTATCAAAACTCATGTTACACTGGTTAAAACTCATGTTACACATGCAGAAATTATGAAAATGCCACTCTACTGAATCACTCAGTCACCAGGAGCCTAAACCAGTATAAATTATTAATGTTCAGTTGTATTATTCATCTGGCAATTAGTAGGATCCAAGATAAATTTAAAAAAATAAGCCACAATTATATGAGAAGTGAATTAGTCAAGTTCTTACAAATGTATGGCTGTAAAATCTGCAGAAATCTGTCCATGCATCTCTTATAAAAACTTTTGCATAATTGCTCTGCTTACGTGTAGCACAGTTAGGTGCTATTTAATTTTTAATTCATTAAAACATGGTTATAGATTAAAAAAGTTATAAGCAATATTCAGTAGACCCACCCACCCAGTATGCTAAGTTTTTAACATCCTTCAGATGAATATTAAACGATAAAATTTAAACTCAGCTTATCAGTAAATTCACATTATCCTACCATCTTAAATACCAAATTCGAGATATTTAACAATAGAGTGAAAAAATTAAAATTTGTATAATTGAAACGCATTGCTGCTCAAATGTTGTGTAATATCACTCGTGATTTTTTTCAAACATTTTCTACTTTATATTCATTGTCTGCAAGAGATTTGAAATTTTTCAAGTAGGAACACACTCTGTCTTACAATCCAAAACACCTCAGGTATGGATTTGCATTCCGGCCAGGATATAAAGGAGACATTATAGTAAAAGCTGAAATTATAAACTAGTTAATTTATATAATAATAATAACTGTACATATCGTTGAAGAATGAACTTTATGTATGCAGTTTCTTTTTTCAATATGTTTCCTCTTCATTTTAGAATTTTTGGATTTAATTAAAGATTTCTGTTATTTTAAAAATTACACGTATACTGCTCGACATTGAAAATGCAACACCAAGAAGGAGTGGTCTGAAAGTGATGAAATTTGGAAAAAGACAGAGACAGCAAGCAGCAATAAGTGATCTTTATTTCAAAATGATAGTCAGAATACAGAGCGAGAACGGTGTCAGCTCAGTAGAATGTAGGACCACCGCGGACAGCGATGAACGAAGAAACACGTCTATGCACAGAGTCTGCAAACGGCATACAATTACATCCCACACATGTTCGATTGGTGACAGGTCAGTAGAGTACGGTGGCCAGGGAAGCATCTGTATACCTTGCAGAGCATGTTGGCAGAGGCGAGCACTGTGTGGTCGGGCATTATCCCGCTGAAAAATTGCATTAGGCAGGCCCTGAAGGTAGGGGATTGCGACCGGCCGTAGTACATTATCCAAGTATCGTTGGGTCATCATAGTCCCCTCAATACGAACTAGAGGTGACCTGGAATCGTAGGCAATAGTGCCCCAAACCATTATGCCGCGTTGTCGCATGGTGGAGCGTTCTACAGTTACTGTCTGATTAGATCTGTCTCCACGTCAACGCCACATACGTATGTGTTGACTGTCACTGGATAAACAGAAGCGTGACTCATCTGAGAACACGACGTTTTGCCATTCTGTCATCCACATCGCTCCAGTCCCACACCATTCTAAACGTTGGCGTCTATGTTGTGGGGTCAATGGCAGTCTTCTTAACGGCCGCCGAGTGGCAGTCCACGTTAAACCAATTGACGGGAAATGGTTCTAGTCGACACAGGAATATCCAAGGTATCTTGCACATGCTGCAGAATTGCGATACAAATGACTTGCGGGACTGCCACAGCTTGTCGGCAGATGCGTCGATCCACACGTGCTGACGTTACTTTGGCTGCACCTGCACCCCTCCTTCTTCCCACATTTCCTTGTTCCAACCATGTTCGCCATAGTCAATGCACTGTGCTTGCATCCATGTGGGTATCAGCTGCGATTTGACGTAAGGACCAACCCGCCCTTTTCAGTGCGATCACCATACCCCTTGTAAAATCATCTAACTGCTGGAAGTGCCTTCGTTGATGGCGGTCTGGCATACTCTCCTATTACACGTATCCTCCGGGACAAAAACCAACTTTTTTCCATGATTTGTCTGGAAGAAATAACGATATGAATATTGCCCATTCTGCACGTTCCTTCCCTTGTATCTTACTTTACGTGTGTCGGAGAGCTACGAATTTTACATCATTCGCATAACTCAGTGACGTGCGTCTACTCTAAAATTTGCATAAATTTCTGACCACTCCTTCTAGGTGTTGCATTTTCAATGATGAGCAGTGTATTTAGAATGTATAGAAGAAGCTGCTAATTTTATTTCTTTAGTAATATAAATATTCAGAATAAATATGAAATGATATATAGTCAAAGCCTGTTACAGAGCTTGGTGTTGCAGAATTTTCAGAATTTAGTGATGCACCTCACAACAAAATCTAGAAATTACAAAACTTTTAGAATTTAGGACAAGCACTGGGAGCAGAATTTAGGACTCGCAGAGATTGCATCAGGGAAAAAATTGGCTAGCACCAGCCCTGTGTATGATGCATTGAGATATATAAGATGAAGCTTTTACATTATCATTTTTCAATTTTGGTACTATTCCGTTTTAAGGACCATAAAAAAATTGCAGCGAAAATGTATGCGCAAATGTGCCAAATCTAGCGTATGCACTGATTTCAGATTGCGTAAGTTTATATAGTTCTATATTTTTTTAAGACACCATTGAAATACTAGTTTAATTTTTAAATCCTTTTTAAATTTTAAGTCCTATGGATTTAACAATTTGGGAATTGCCCATGACGAAAAGTCTGCAGTAGAATTTTGGGTAAAGTGCAGAATCACCCACTGCTTGACGTGTTTTTAAGAATTGCACATACTCGATATCCATGTACCAACATGTACCAACCACATCAACCTATTTTCACTTTAAAAAAAATCCCAGAATTGAAAAAAAAAAAAAAAAAAAAAAAAAGGCACTGCGCACACCCTTGACTTTATCTATGTACACATCGACCTATTTTCACTTAAAAGAAAATTGACAAAAATCCAATTGTTTTTACCCTTGTAAAAAGTGGCAAACAAATAAGTGGGCAATTCTATCCTTTACCGAGAATTTTTTCAAAGAAAAGGCATCATTCATTATAGAAAATTATGTTTGAACAATCAACGAGATGAAATTATGTTTTAGCGATAACTGGGTAGCGAAATAGCGGTGCAGGCATCCATTCAGTTATGTTTAGTAATTTTTATATAAATTATAATAATGATCTGAAATAGTTATTTACTCTTATGCTTCCATTCAGTCAGGTTTAGCCTTTTTCATATAAATTATAATAATAAAAAAGTATTATATGAAATTAACCTTTCATCTAAATTAAAACATCAATCTTAGATAGTGATTTACTATTATACTTCCTTTCTTGCCGCAATTATTTTTGGCAGCACTGGCATCAACAATAGTTGGCGATTTTTTACGGCCCTCAAAACTGAATAGTACCTCAATTTCTTTATTAATAGAAAATTCCCCTTTCTATGAATGCCTGTCCATGTATTTTTGATATTTTCCATGCTCGTGCCTAATGAAAAGAAGAGAAAATAAAGGGAAGATAAACATGTTAAGAAAAAGACTTCTAGTATCAGAAGTAAAACATTCAAATATTATGTTTTCATTGTTCTTCCAAAAATTCTCTAAAATGTAAGAAATTCATCACAAACTTTCTGTTTTGTCATATTTTTCTGGAATCTTCTAGAATTGAGGGTCTATAAATTTTGCCTTCAAATCCTTCTAAATTTTCCAAATTGAAATGTTTAAAATCTGAAAGAAAAATTACCTCTACCAATTCTGTAACGGCAAAAAGCTAGAAATTTTTTTTGGGGGGGAATTAGAAGAAAAATGTGTTAAATTAATTTTATAGTAGAGGAAACTGATGCATATTCTGAGACATCTACATGGGGAAGACTTTTACCATGAAAAAATTTAAAAAGATATTTAAAATTAATTACATAGCTATTTTACTTTTGCAAGAACTTTTTCATAAATTGTGCTTTCTAGCATTTATTACCTTATTTATTTTTCAAATTCAAAATATTATAGAATAAATCATCAAAATGGAAAGTACAGTATACTCTCAATTAACTCGTTTGCAGATTATACGTGCGTGAAGGTGTCGACACATGCACACTCAGTGCTATGCGTGAGTGTAAAAAATAAACACACAGACGTCCGAGTATGGAAAAAGAGTCTTCTTAATTTAAAAATCAGAGATTTATCTAAATTTGAAGAAGTCAGGCAAATAACTGAATTGTTTTAAAAGTCACAAGAACAAAAGAGGCAGAAAAAATACAAGCACAGAACACACTGAAAATTCCATTAGTACCAAAACACCAATGATTTCTGTTTGAACTCCACTGGACATCATCAATCATGATAAAACAACTAGCACTTTGACAAATATTACATACTCTCAGAAAAACAAACTAAGGATTTTTTTAAAGAGATAAACATGTACAATATGCAAGAAAATCGATAGTTTGGATTATCCGTGAGTAATCGAGAGTACTCTGTATTGTCATTTTATAATAAGATAGGGGAAAATAAAAACATTTTATTTTAACGTAATATTCTAATATATTACCATTATTTTAATGAAATTTCTTAATGCTATAGTTTACAAAAGTCATTAAAAAATTCTTAGATCTCTGAGTTACAAAATTTTCTATAGAAATTGATTTTAAATTTCCCAAAATGTTGATAAGTCAACCAAATTTAGAACCATTTAATACTAGAATTCACATCCCCAAAAGTGAAAAGTTGTTTAAGAATTCTCCATCAGAAAAACTGAAATAATTTCGAAATGCTTATGTTTCACTTCTTGCCCCAAAACTCAAGTATCGCACCGTTTATATTAGAAATAAGAACAAATTATAACCCATGAATGTACTCGCCCATTCAAAAGATAACCATATTTGTGAGCCATTCGCCAAAAATATTCCTCCAAAATGCTTATTCACACTCAAAATGGTAGTTGTAGAAACAAATTTCATAGGATTAAGGACTTTCTGCCAATTTAGACCAAAATTACAGACCTTTAAGGACCAAAAATTCATTCCAAAAAACCTAAGGACTCTTAAGGACCATACAAACCCTGTTTACACAAAATTTATGCCCCAAAGCAATAACAAAATAATTAGAACATGCACTTGGGTTTGTAAAAATGTAGAACTTTTTTGATAACTCAATACATGCTCAAAAAGAGGTTTTCATACTAAAAATTAAATTATTGTCAATATATTGAAATATTTGTATCTGATAAATTAGACCTAATAATTTTTAAAAATTTTCCCAAGTTTAATAATCTGTTACCAGTTAACTGCAAAATTTAATTGATAAAGAAACATAGCAATGTAAAATTTAAACTTAGACAACAAAAGCAACCTTAGACTGTCATTATATTTTGTATAAAACACCATTACTTTTAACCCTCTGGCTGCTCATCTCGCGATTTCCACGGGCAACTCAAATGTAGCAACTCATTCCGCGATTTCCGCGGGCATGTGTTTTTCTTCCTTTATTGAAGAGCACATCCCCTTTTTCCCCCATTTAATGCCTGAAATAAATTATATACAGTATTAGACGTTTAGTTTACGTTTTGGCCAATAGATATTGTTAGTTATCCACCAAATTGCGGCATTTGAATGCACATGGTATTACTGCTCAAATTCCACTTTTTGCGCTTTTTTCTTACAAAAATGGCTGCTAGAAAACATTCAGCGATTATCTTGATTATTTAATTAAATTATTGAATTATTAATTAGATTTATTGGTTAGATTAATAATTAGATTTATTGAATCTGGTGCAAAGACTGTGAAGTTGGACTTTTCCTTGAACCCTGTTTTGAACTCTATCGTACTAAACTGCATTTCTAAGGTATTTTTTTCCTCAGTGCTTTATATTTTCTTAAATGTTATATATTTTACTTTTTTTATATTATGCAATAAATAGAAATTAACTGTAATTCAACTGAAATTTATTTAAAAAACAATTTTTTTTTGGTTATAACATCTGAAATTGGTTTTTCTGGCAACTTAGTTTCTCATGATAAAAATCTATATAAAAAAACATTTTCTAGAAAGGAAAAAATGCATTTTTCAATTCTCCAATATATATAGATTTAAAATATAGGAGAAAAAAAAAAAAAAAAAAAAAAAAAAAAAAAAAACGATGTTTAAGAGATTTCGTTTGACAAATTGAGCAGTTGTCAGCGGGTTAAGGGCTATCTGACATTAGTCCTTCATCTACAGAAGTGAATTTTTTTTCCTTTCAGAAAGAAAGACCTATGCCAAATCACCTTCAAAATCATGAGAATTTTACTTAAAAAATCTAAACACTTTTTTTTTTGGGGGGGGGCTAATTTTAAGTCTGTTGCCAAGGGAATATATGTACAGCTCTTATTTATGCGAATGGTGAAAAAATACAATTAGGCAGACATAATGTAATTTGGACATTCTTAATTTCTGGATATATTATTTTCATGTATGCATATGCAAGAATACACACAGGAAATAACTATACCTTTGATTTTCTTATCAAATGCTTTTTTCTTTCTTTTCAGTTGTGCTTCTTCTCTCTGTTCTTTCATTTCCTCTATTGTCTCTTCCGTGCCAAAAATCTCTAATGCTCGATTTTCAACCTGTAAAATTCATTTTTTTAGAACACAGTTTAATGTTCTTGAATTTTGTAAGATGTACTCCAGATACTTAGATTAAATATGTTTTTACATCAATACATAAAAAATATAAAATTCATAGATGTTTCTTTTAGTGCATAGAAATGTTTCCCAAACTTTTTAGGTTTGCAATCCATATACAGTAAACTCTCGCTACAACGATACCCGATATAACAATAACTCCCTCTACTACAATAATGTTTTGTGGTCCCGGTGATTTTGCATATAAACTAATGTTAATCTCCCCTCAATATTGCTATATTCTCTAGAACAATAAACCTCTGTAAAACGATTTTTTCAATCTAAATTTCACTATTATTTTCTCCCTTTATAATAATATTTTGATTTTCAAATGCTTTTTTTTTTTTTTTTTCGTTTTCTTTTGTTATTTTTTCCATCTATTAAGACTCATTGTGGATATTCAACTTATCCCTGAATAAATAGCTATTTTTCAGATTTCAAAACAGATGAAGACCACCCTTTTGGGAATTGGAGTGGGTGAGGGGGGTGAAGTGTAAATGTATGCCTAGTCTCATTTCCCAGTAAGCTTTGGAATTCTGATAAGGTTTAAGGACATCTAGACCTGTCTGGTCACCTTGTCACAGAACAAGTGCCCTTTGTTAGAGGAACAGGGGGAGATGGAGGCGGGGTGCTGTTAAGTGACGTACTGAAAAGTGAGTTCAAAGGTTGTTTTATAGTTTTTAACGACTTTGAGTTCTACGCGAAACATTTGGTTTAAACTTTTCTTTCTTTCACGCGATATTGTTCCCTAAGATGGCAGGGCGAAAGCAACTATCTTTTCGAGATAAACTGAACGTTATCAATGATATTGATGAGGGAATGAAGCAGATTGATGCGGCTAAGAAACATGGATTATCGCAATCTACAGTTGCAACGTTCCTAAAGAAGAGAAAGCAAATCGAAGATGCTGTAACTTCAAATGAAATTAACCCAGAGCGAAAACGACTGAAAGTTGCGACAAATGAAAACATTGATGCTGCTGTTTTAAAATGGTTTTGAAGAGATGAGAGCAACAAATGTCCCAATAAATGGACCTTTATTATGTGCAAAAGCACGGAAATTTGCAGCAATGCTAGGGAACAAAACTTTCAAAGCTAGCAATGGTTGGTTAATGCGTTTTCGAGATCATCATGGAATAACTTTCCAAGAAGTTCACGGAGAGAAAAAGTCAGCCCCGATAAACGACGCAAATGAATGGCGGCAAAACAAGATGAAAGAAATCTTAGAAAAGTATGCTCCAGAAGACATTTATAATGCAGATGAAGCTGGGCTGTTTTTCCAACTCCTACCCGATCGAACATTGGCATTCAAGGGTGAAAAGTGTTATGGAGGGAAGAAATCAAAGCAGAGACTGACTGTTCTTCTGTGTACAAATAGCACAGGAACGCATAGAATACAACCTCTCGTCATTGGTAAATCATTGAAGCCAAGGTGCTTTAAGAACGTGAAAAGTCTTCCTGTGGAGTATAAAGCAAATAAGAAGGCTTGGATGACGTCTAAATTTTTTCCGAATGGTTACAGAAGTTAGACAATGAAATGAAGAAGAGAAAGAAAAAAATCGTTTTGTTGATAGATAACTGCGGTGCTCACACGTCATTTCCAAAGCTACAAAATATCGAAATCGCTTTTTTCCCCTGCCAATTGCACTTCAATTTTACAGCCTCTTGATATGGGCATAATTAAGTGCTTCAAAGGATATTACAGAAAAACGGTTGGTGGACTCCATACTTGTAAACTTTGAAAATAAAGTGGAAGACCCTTTCAAAGCTGTAAATGTCAAGGAAGCGTGTGACAATATTGCTGGAAGTTGGTGGGAAGTAACAGAAAAAAACCATTCGGAATTGCTGGAAAAAGGCCGGTCTTTGTGTTATGGAAGATAAGAAATCTGATAATGATGAAAATTCCATAGACAATGATCTCTCAGATGATCAAGAATGTGTTTTGCACATCAAAAAATCCGTATCCCAACTTGAGGAAACAAGCGGTAAAAAGTTTGGAATTAGTATAGAAGACTATTTAACAGCAGATGATGATCTTATGGTTTTCGCAGGAGTTACTGATGAAGATATTCTCTCTGAAATTACTGATGAGATAGGAAACAATGATGAAGATGAATGATTATGATAATACAGGTCCATCGCAGTCCTTATTGTCATCCCAGGAAGCTCTTCAATCTGTGAATTCTCTACGGACATTTTTTTCAAGCCTTCCGTCGACAAATGAAGAACATTTTCGTGCACTAGACTCAATGCATACAGTATTGGTGAACTTAACAGTTAAAAAAATCAATAAACAACACAAAAATATTGGATTATTTTCAATAAAAAGTGTTTTCAGGTATGTGAATATTTCTGTGCTTATTTTCTGAATTGATCTTATTTATTTATTTTTTTAGTATTTAAACCACTATTATTAGTATTTTACAAATTAATTTCTTCTAAATATAGACTTAAAAGTAGTATGTTATGTACCTTAAACTAATAATAATAATAATAAAACTCTTATTAAATGCTCAAAATATGTGGGCCCTCAATATAACAATATGCCTCTCTACAACAATATATTTATTTGGTCCCTAAAATATTGTTGTAATGAGGTTTCACTGTATATATAGTTGTAATTGATCATGACCCAGATACATGTATTAGTTCTGAATAAAACAGTGAATAAAGAAGATTCTTAGAAAGAAATAAGATAAACTAATAATAAACAAACAATAATTCATTGGTAACCATACAATAAGAAAATGAGTACTTCAAGTGTTCCGTGACCCACAGTCTAAGAACTATTGGTACTTAATATGCTGTTTATAAAGCTGAACAGTTTAATGATCATTAAATGAAAGAAAATAATAGAAAAATATCAGAACAATTAAATTTAATAAAGTAACAAAGGGAAAGTCTGAAGTTGAATAATTTATTATGCAATCATAGAAGTTTTTTGTAATAATGTAAAAAGAACAACATATTAATAGTGTTAAAGGTTTAATATAGATTAAAGAAATATATACCTGTAATCTCAGATACAGTTTCATACTTCCATGCATATTATGTGGATTTTTTCTGAGCACAAACTTTAAAGGAGGTTCTCGTTTATCAAAATCACAGTCTTTCAAAAGATATTCTTTCTTTGCATCTGTTCGGCTGATAAGAGCATGAGCACCATCATTATCTCTGAAAAACAATAGAAATCTTACATGTTACAATTACTGAGAGCCTAGGTTATAACAGAAAATTATTAAAAAAAATATTTTAAGAATGGTGTAAGGACCAATAGTACAAAGAGTTCCTCATAAGTTACATCTTGGCATATGTTAATACACCATATAACTCTTGGCAAAATTTGATAGTTGTTAATTCCTTACACCAACAGGAAATGAACCACAAGGTTGCTGTAAACATAATCTAGATTTCCTCAAACCAATTTTTTAGTCTCACCATCTGTACTTACATAATATATACAAGTACATTTCTTTAATAACGCACAAATTTATTGCATGGAAATTATAATATTCTCAGATTTTTGCTTTTTGAAAAGCTGAACAGATTTTGTTATTTGATAAATTCTAGAGACCAATTACAAAAATAAAAAACATGAAACTTGCCAAAGTAATTTTATCATTACAAAACAGGCAGCACAAGTTACAAGTGTAATAGTATATTTCATTTAATTAGACAGCCATCAAATGAGAAAAGAGTAGAATAAAATGGCCACAGATTCAGATGCATCCTTATTTTCAGTATTTTGCTATATTAAATAATAAATATAACAACTACTGATTCATAAAATACTTCTTAATTTAAAAAGTGGTAACCTTAGTTTGTGTAGACTTTTAATAAAACTCTATTGATTTCGAGGGCAATCAGACACAGATCCCTCTTCTTCAAGAGCAAAAAAGAATAAATCCATAACTTTGTTCCAAATCTGCAACACCCTAAAATAGGGTGGTGTATATCATGTTATTCATCATTATTGTATACACTTTCTCTATATGCTTCTCAATAATTTTTATCTTTGAAGAACTTATTAAATAATATTCCAATCTCCGAAAGCTTACATGTGAAAATTTTTTCATTGATTCATTTACTTTTATCTCCTTTGGTAGTTCAAACTTCATTAGTCATGTTTTTCATGCAAAAAATTACATGCATATTAATTTCTTCCAAAATTCTCCAATAATTTTCAACATTATTTTTATGGAATATATTTATGTAAGCAAGGGTGAAAAAAAAAAAAAAAAAAAAAAAAAAAGTTTATAATCATAATTCTTCAAATGGAAATTTTTATAAAGTTTAAAAGCAGAAAAAGTATCTAAATTACATTTAAATGTACAAACCTGCAACCATCACACACTTGAAAATCAAAATGTGTTTGAAGATAACTATCATTAAATTCCTCTTTGCATTCAATACATATAGGTCTGTCCCCAGAAAACAGTGGAGCAGGAGAGTACTCACAATAGGTCTCTCTTCAGCAGCCAATAAATCCGTATCATCCTCTTCAGCAAAAAAACCAGCCCCAGTATCTCGAGGTCGGGATATAGCATTCACTTCCTTTTGACAAACTGTCCTATACAATCATGTATTTAAATGTTATTATAAACAACACTATAACATAAAAATGATATAATGTATAAAAAAATACTATATAACATAAAAATGATGAGTTATTTATGGACGTCAGAAAATGCTACATTTTAAATTTAAAAGAACATAACATACTAATTTGCCCTAACATGTAAGAAATCTCCGCTGAATTACAAAAATGACAAATATTTACTATCCAGAAATTTCAGATAACAATTTTGTTTTCCCTACAGACATTACTAACAGTGATTTTCAAACATTTTCAATTTAACTAATGATATTCCCCCCCCCCCAAATGAAAATGCTCACATCAGAGGCAACTGTTTCAGTATATAAAAGCAGGATTTTAGTAAAACAATTATATGGAATATTAAAGGAATATTTTATGGAAAAATATATTATTTCCAGTTTTTTTCTAGTGAAAATTTTTTTTTGTGAAAATTAAATTAATTTTTAATCTTGCTTCTTGAATTGGAAGGTTTTCACAAAGGAACATATACCGGGTCAGTCCATAAGTTCATGCGCATTAAGAGTATGCATGGAATTCATTATGGTGCATTTACTAAAATAATACAATTTTGAACCTTTTGAAACTTGTCATCGTTTGATTAACATATTATTCAGTTCATCTACAACTTTCGTAAATATTGAACGCATTTTAGTACCCATAAAAGATGAATATAGATAATCAGTACAAACGTGCCGAGCTATATTTTTTATTTTCACGTGGTGAATCTGCCAGGTTTGCAGCGATAAAAATTAATAGTGTACATGTGTGTACTTACATTAAAAATTAATAGTGTACTTACACTATTAGTTTAAGGACTGTCCAGAAATGGTTTAAAAATTTTTAAGTTGGAAAAAGCAGCAATAATGATGAACACCATTCAGGACATTTTGAAATTTTAGAACCAAATCAAATGATTAATTCAGAAATTTATAGTGAACAACTTTGCTGTCTAAACTCAGAATTGATCAAAAACTGCTCACGATTGGTGAATATCAAGAAAGCGCTGTTTCATAATGATAACGCTAGACTGAATACGGTTCGAACAACGCTGCAAAAAAATTAGTGAATTTAATTAGGAGCTTTTGCCACATCCTGCTTACTCCCCAGATATTGCCCCAAGTGATTTTTACTTATTTCGTGCCTCACAAAATTTTTTACTAGGAAAAAAGTTAAATTCTAAACAGGATGTACACAATGAACTTTCAAGTTTTTTTTGCATTAAAATCAGAGTCTTTCTATAGTAATGGCATAAAAAAGCTGCCTGTAAGATTGCGAGACATTGTAGATAATGGAGGAAAATATATAATTAATTAAAATGTTAAATTGTGTTTTTTACATTATTTAAAAATTTACCAAAAAATGCACACAAATTTATGGACTGACCCAATAGTTTCAACACAATTTTTTTCAAATTTTTAATCGCTATTAGAGATCTTCCATTCATTGCTTTCTTCACTTGAGTTATTTATGGATTTTTGAATGACCTACATTACTTATAGAGCTAACTAGCAGCAGTTTAAGGCATTAATTGAGCTGGAATCTGTATCTTTTATTTGTCATATTTCTAAGGCATCGAAACTCATTAAGAAGTCATGATATTTAGTTTTTGATTAGTCTGTTATAATAACTGGTGATTTTGATTTTAGAGTAAGCTATTATTTTCTACTGTGAACAAAAATTAAGGTAGTAGATGTTTAAAATACAGTACAAAGTCCGAAATTTAGACATCTAATATACGGACATTCTGATCATGAGCAATTAAAAAAAAAAAAAAAAATCAAAAGCAGATTTTGCAAGAATTATTTTTGTTTAAGATAAAAGTACCCAATTTTTCAATTCAGCAATTTTATGTGTTTTCAGGAAGACTTTTCATGTTTTTCTCATTTTTAATATTTCATAGGAAAATGGTTGCCCGAGCCTCAAAGAGGTTGGATTTTCCATCCTAATTTTAAGGGATAGTACCCTGGGGGATGGTGGCCTCAGGGTCTCCTACCCCTCTTCCTTAAGGGCAGTTTACACTTCTCCAAGTGAGACTCGAGAAAGCCCCTTGTCCGAGCATCTTGAATCGAGTAAACAGACCTGTACTCTGATAGATTGTTTACACCAATCAGAGAGGACTGTGACAACTTGCCTCCGTTTGTTTGCAAAATGGGTACCAACGTGCAGGTTGCTGTGCTTGAAGTTTTAGATGCAGTTTCCAATGAATTAAATTCTGTTCTAGGGTAAAAAAAAAAAATAAAATAAAATAAAAAAAATAAAATAAAATAAAATAAAAAATAAACAAATAAAAATAAAATAAAAAAATTAAATTACAGGAAGAAAAGGAAATGAAAACGTGGCTGGGTAGCTTGCCGTGATGAATTGGGAGCATTAAATCAACTTTTAAATGAACTTCAGAGTGAGGATATCCAAAGTTAGAAAAACTTCATTAGAATGGGTGAAGAGTAATTTGAAACTTTATTGGAAATAGTCACTCCACTTATTCCTCCCCCTCCCCCGAAAAAAAAAACGTTCTTTCGAGATGCTCTACCAGCAAAATTAAAATGCAGATAGCGCTTTGGTTTCTGCAGACGGGTGACTCCTACATTTCTCTGCAATATTTATTTCGAGTGCCTAAATGCACAGTTAGCATATTTATTCCAGAAGTGTTTAAGGCCATTTTCTGCACATGAGGTTGAGCGAAAATTATTAATCTTTTGCTTAAACTCTCAAATTTTAACATTTTAATAGCCACATACGCTTTCTGTCAGCGATTTTTATTTTAATACTTTTGACTGATCGTTTGTAAGTAAAATCTAATTTGTGGTTCAAATAAAAAGGAAAGTCTATAAACAAGATTTCAAAATTTTCGATTATATTTTATTAGATGTAATTGGCCTTGAGTAAAAACTTGTTTTTCGAAACTTATATCAACAAAATAAAATAAATGTTTGCCCTTTTACTTATTTTTTTAATTGAAGACTGTATTTTATTGGGTAGTTGTATAACATATAATTTGTTTGTTGATTAAAGAAAATTCAGAAATAAATATGTGAAAATAAATATGTTTTGAATCCTACACGCTAATTTAATTTTCTTCTATGTTTTTTCTACAATATCAGAAACCTAAATTCATTCTGTTCAGTAGTTATACCCACATTTTATTTAGGTATTAGTAAACAATAGTCGCAGTATTCAGGTAGTGAAGTATCCCATAATAATTCACAAGATGCATATGCATTAAAAAATGCCATAGTTAAGATTATCTCTATTTCGGCATTTTCAATATAACAAAAAAAAAAAAAAAAAAAAAAAAAATGGACACGACGTCTCTGTGAACACTGCTCGGAGTTACTGCCTGGATAGATTTTCAACTGGTTCAAAGTACAAACGGACTCGCTGACTCAACTTCCCTACGTTTCTATTCAGATGAAGTAAGCGTTTACATTGTCAAAGTAGTCATAGCGAGAAGCTTGCTGCAGGGCACTCGAACAGATGTATACTGGCCTTTAGTACATGAGAGTCTCACCATATATTTAGACTAAGTGCCTCCATGCCATGCAGACCCTATCCATTTATCCATAACATCGACTCATTTTTAACATTCAATCTTGCTCTTTTGATCATCAATTATTGACACATGCAAGCATTACATATAAAAAACTAAAAATAACAAAAATATAATTTCTAACATGACTTACTTTTCAGCATTAGCTATATTAGCAATTCGTGCTTTACGTAACTGTAAAGCTTTCTCACGATTATTTTTCATACGTTGAATCTGAGCAGGAGTCAAGGCTGTTGAGCTTTTAGGTTCTTCACCTAAGAAACACAAATGGTATACGTAATTAATACAAGATATGAATAATATCTCATTCTTTACCACCTAGTTCATATTTCAAACTATTGATTATCTTTACATGCAAATAAACACCAAATTCTCAGAAACTACTAAATAATATTAAAGTAATTTATTTATGTATCACAAATTGTATTAAAAGAAAACTACAAACTGGAAAATCAAACAAGAATGCATATGACAAAAAATTATAGCATGAATCACTCAACAGTGTTAATTCGACACAGGTCAATTGCAGTAAAAGGCTGACTATATAAATACTCATTGAAGAATTACTGCAAACAAATTATAATCTGTGTTGCTTATAGTATCAGTTAAAACTACCGGGTAGATATGTAATTTGACTTATTGCTTTTGAAAAATTTTAAATGTGATCGAGCACATTTAAAGTGTTACAGAAGCTACCACAAAATTCTAATTCATAAATTAATAAACTCAGAATTAAAATAAGAGTTAAAAAATAAAACAATAATACAATGAAGACTCTCATAGTGACCACCCCGTTTGAAGACCATATATAAAAGTGATTAGAATTTCTGAGAACAGCAATCATAGATCAAAATTATCTGGAATAAAAAATGGTCATTTTAAAAAGGAATTTACAGTATTCAGTACATTCGAATTTCACACAGTTAAAATAGTTAAATAATATAGATAAACTAGTTAAAATTTCACATTTAAATTAATAAATTCCAATGAATCATTTAAATGAAGATTGCTAAATTAAAATTGCAGATTCCCCAGGATATTGACTAAAATATAAAAAACATAAAATCACATTCTAGAGTTTAGCAATCATTAACTCTGTCTTGCACAGAAAGCATTGCCTGAAAACCACTACTATCTAAATTCAAATTATTGCTTCAAGTTACAAATATTGTTATTTATATTCAGATAAAAAAAATGTGAAGTGAATCTATTAAGTTTTAAATACTGTTTTCAGCACTTTTCTTATGCTGTCATGAATGTATTTGCTCTTCTATGAAACCAAAAATAATATTAAATGGCTTAATTTAAGAGTAAAGTCTATAGCTAGATTCAGATATAAATCTGTTTGTACCTTACTGTGTTATACATTTTGGTGGCTAACAAATTTGCATTTTTGGTTATGTAAACCATGAAGTCTCCTTTCAAAGCAATACATTCTACTTCTTAGATAAACTTTCAGTTATTTCTAACCAGAAATTGCAAAAAACATTTTATATACTTCTCTGTTATGCACTTAATTCATTATACATCATGCTTTATAAATAAAGTAATTATTTTAGAATCATTTAAAAAATTATGACTAATAATACCTGTACGTATCCAAATGATCAGAAGGTTGCTGTTGCATGTAACTTGATTTATGACACCTAAGATATTTTACTGTACATTTATTTACAAGTCTTATTTACAATCCTTATGCCACCTGGCATGTAAATGATACAGATATTCTGCCACCTGGCATGTAAATTGATACATCATACTAGTTTTTTGCCACCTGGCAGATACGATGCAATTATATCAATTAGCGGTAATACGCCTGACATACTGGCGTGTCCGCTCCCTTTAGGTTTTATAACCTAACTAACTCTTTTGCGAGGTGCACCCTCTGGGTACAAATCACCAAGAAGGCCAAAATAATAACAATAATGCAAGCCTGCAAAATGTGGATTACATAATTTTTTTTAAACTTTCATTAATTTATTAGTATGTATTTTTTCAGCTGTGAATCTACAAATGATGTTTCATCACCTCACGGTTTTCAATCCCACCTTTAAACTTCTTGGATGTCTTACTGAAATCTCTCATCCACCTCTTTCCTAATGGCATCCAGAGTTTGAGAATAATAATCCAAATGTGAATTTAAGAAGTGAACCTTTAAGCTCATGGAACACCCTAAATTTTTGTATTACTGGAACATGTTCCCAAAAACTGATTCAAAGTTTGGATCTTTCTTATTGTTCAAAAACAAGCTTTTTTCCTTGCAACTTCTATTTCTTTCTCAAAATTACAACTTTTGAGAAGTGTTTTTTAAATGTTAAGACCTAAAAAGACAGGCTCTTTTAATTTGGCAGTTGATAAAGCTGGAAATTTGTCATAGGTATGTTTATAACATCGACATACTTTTGATAAGCCTTTGAGAAATTGCTTCAACAACCCTAACTTGATATCCAGAGGTTGAAGAACTTTATGGCCAGTCTTTCTTTACCCAGTGACTTTTCTGCCTCTACTATCACACTCATATAGAAAAACGATGAAAACTTTGTGCATCATCCTTGCTATCCTATACTAGGAACATCGATATTATTTTGAGACTGTTGCACTTAATCCACTTATGATTGTCATATTTAATTTTATCAAGAATAACTTCTAGAACATCATAACACTCTTTTAAATGAACAGAATGCCCAATGAGTCTTGATGCATATACATTTCCAATTTCTATTAAAGAAGGACAACTTTGAGGCTTCTTTTGGACAAATCTACAAAGTCTCCAGTTGGTACTTTTGTCAATTAGATTGATTTAAAAGTCTACACACATCAGTGCAGAAGACAAAAGTTTCCTCCTTCTGAAAAATATGAAAGAAAATCATTTTCTTATTACCTGAACTGAGAAAATGAAATGGCAGCTTCGAGAAGTTCTTCTTTTTAAGCCTCAGAGAAAGCAATTCTGAATTTTCTTGGGTCAGATGCCGGTCTGCAACTAAATCATATACAGTAGGACTCCAGTTATCCGAATCAACTGGAACCAGACCTTATTCGGATAATCAAAAATTTGGATACTTGGATTTTTTACAAAGAAAGGTTCTATGTACACTTTAATTAATTACTGTATGTACTGTATGTTGAGAATAGGAAAAAAAAAAAACGATTTTTAAAGAAAAAGAGGTTTTAATTAATTGAAATGAAAAGGCAACTTTTACGTACACGTTATATAGCGTACTGTACATGTTATATAGCATACTGTAACTGTTTCAGTACTTAAAAGTACTGAAAGTCATTGCTTGCTGAACATCTTGGTCAAAGTAAGCTCAGAGTTCGTATGGTCCTTAAGAGTCTAATTTTTTTTAAATCGATTTTCGGTCCTTAAAAGTCCTTAATTTTGGTCCAAAATCGGCAAAAGGTCCTTAATTTTAATCATCAGAAAAGTCTGTTTGTTTTTACAACTGCCATTTTGAGTGTGAATTATCATTTTGGAGGAATATATTTGGAGATTCACTGACATATATGGTTATCTTTTGAATGGGTTCATGGGTTATAATTTGTTCCTATTTCTAATATAAATGGAGTTTCTAAGCAAGAAGTGAAACATAAGTATTTCAGAATTCATTTTTACTAAGAAGAGCTCTTAAACAACTTTTTGCCTTTATTAAACGGTTCTGAATTTGGCGACTTAACAACATTTTGGAGATTTTAAGATCAGTTTCTATAGAAAGTTTTTAATTCCGATAATCTGGGAATTTTTTGACAATTGTTTTTAAAACATTGTAACATTGACAAATTTCATTAAAATAATAGTAATATATTGAAATTATATTTAAAATTAACATTAAAATAAAGCATTTTTATTTTTCGCTGCATATTATAAAGTTTCATTTTGGCAACTTATACAGTACAACATCTTTAATCCGGACGTCCATAATACGGAATGATCTCTAATCTGGACCTCAAAGCTACAAACTTTCTGCACATGCATAGCGTTTACGCATGCGCATAATAACTTTATGCATACACATATACACATATGCGTTTACACATGCGCATAATACATTTACGCATGTGCGTTTAATGTATAACGGACGGTATAAGCTAGGCTAAAATTATCTAATTATCTATTTCAGTTAATGTTACAGATTGCGTTGTTCCTTAATCTTCTATTTGGATCCAGCTTATTATTTTGCGCAGACTGTTAGAGCAATTTTATAAAAAGTAAGCTTGAACTTTCAATTATGTCAAAAAGAGTTTCCGATTCTGCAGCTGCCAAAGGATCTACAAAGCGAAAGCATGTTTCGATGTCCATCAAACAAAAAGTGTAATTGCTGCAAAAATGAATAAAGGCATGAAGAAAGTGACAGAGAGGTTAGTGAAAACGAAAAAATTTCAATTGACAAGTTAGTCGGTATTCTCAGCACAGCAATTACAGGACTTGAACAGCGAAACTTTGTAACTGAACAAGAAACTATGTCTGTTTATAGAATTAAAGAGAAAGTATTAGCACATAAAACGAAGCTACTTAAACAACTTATATTGAAAGAAATGTTTAATAAAGTAAACAAATAAATATTAAGCGTTTTTTTGTAAATTTTGATACCCTTTAGATCATAATTGCTCTTTATTTCATAAATTACGGCTTCATATTTTTAACTTTACAATTTCTGAATGCCATCTTACCAGATTTAAATTGATGATCTATAATCCAGAAAAACCCCTAATCCGGAATCGCCAAAGTTCCAACGAGTCCGGATTAAAGACTTTGTACTGTAATACAATATTTTGAGTCTGAAAAATAAACAAGGTATATTGTATAGAAAATGTATGTATAAAGCACAACTTATGAAACAGTTCTTAGCAAAAAGCAAAATTAGCTATGTAATTAATTGAAAATGTCTTCTTTTTAATTTTTTCATAGTAAGAGTTTTTCCCATGTAATCGTATCAGAATATGCATTAGTTTTCTCTATAAAATTATTTTTACACTATTTTCCTCCTTTTTTTTTCCAAAATATTTCTGGCTTTTTGCTGTTACAGAACTGGTAGCGATAATTTTTCTTTAGAATTTTAGTCATTGCAGCTTGGAAGGTTTAGAAGGATTTGTAGGAAAGATTTATAGACCCACGATTCTAGAAGATTCCAGAGATATGTCACAAAATAAAAAATGTCTCCATATTATTAACATGTAATGGATGTATTTTACAGAAAGTTTGTGATGAATTTCTTACTTTTTGGAGAACGTCTGGAAGAACAATGAAAACATAATA